GTGTTATGATCAAATGTGTTAATACACGTGAAAGTACTTGGAACACGTAATATTTAGCAAGGAAGCCAGTTGCTCTTAGGCAAAGAATCAGTGTAACACATACAATTGTAAGGAATTTATACTTCACCCAACATAAAATAAAGCAGAGAAAAAAGTTGAGAGGAGTTGGGTTTAAGTTTTTTCAATTAAGAAAATCATATAAGAAAAATGTTCATTTCACAGGCCATTTATCATAGGTCTTAGCATAGGAAGGGAGTTAAGAAATATGTCTGGGGCCAGCTGAATGGCACGTTGGCTAAGAGTTGGCTTGGAACCCCAGCTCTGAGCAGCAGGGCCCCAGTTCGGATCCCACATTAGGGCCAGTGACACTGTGCCCTCTACAGCTAAGATGGTGAACAACAGCTTGACCTGGAGCTGGGCTGCCGTGAGTCGCCCGCAACGCCGTAGGCTGCAGTGAAGTTGCAGTGAGCTGCCATGAGCTCCTGTGAACGGCTGGCAGCTGGCGTGAGCGGCCAGCAGCTGGTATAAGCTGCCAAGAGCCGCCGTGAGTGGCTGTCCAGTGGCCGGTGACTGATCTGCTTCACCTGGGAAGAGCGCAATGATCACAATACCAACATGGGCCAGTGAAGCGATGTCCTCCACAACTAGACTGAAGAACAAAAGGACAGCGACTTGTCTGTTCCTCTTCCCCGATTCCCCGGCACTGCTCCCCTCCCTGGATTCCCCAATAAAATCTTTAAAAAAAAAGAAAAGAAAAGAAATACATCTGGTCTCCTGCCTTCAGAAAGGAAAAGCATCGTTAGTGGTTACAAGGGAAGGACAGGACTGAGACTGTCTGCCTTTCCATCTTAGCGCCATTCCTGTCTAGCTGTGAGATCTTAGCTAAGTCACTTAGCCTCTTTGTGCCTCAGTTTCCTCATCCAAGAAGTTCAGAAAAATATCATCTTATATAAAACAATGCACAGAAAACACTTTGAGAAATGCCTATTCAATTAATATTAGCTATTATTATCTTTATTTTGTAACAAAGCGACTGAATTTCAGAACATTCAAGGGACTTTCAAAGTTGCACAGCTAATAAATGGTGGAGCATGATCTAGAACCTAAAACTTCTGACTCCTGAAGCTCTGTAGATTGATTTAAGGATTTTAAAATGATTTATGAAATTAAGTGTATTTAACACTCAAATTGACATTGGCTACAAAACAATGTACAACTGTAATAGATTTTCTAAGGAAAAAAATATATACATAGATATGTATAAAAAGTACCGAAAGAACATATACCAAAATGCAAATAGTGTGTGTATGGAGGGGGAGTTTGAGAATATGAACAACATTATTTTCTCTGTGTGTTGCTGTTTGCCATGTTATTAGAATTCAGCAGGTATGGCTTATGTAACCAGAAAAAAAAAGTTATTTAAAAGGCAAAAGAACAACAATAATAACAGCAGCAATGACACCCTGATATGTTTTGAACGTGTGATTATAACAAATCCTTATTTTATTTACATTGCTTTACATATTCCAGACACTTCTAGTTGAGACTCTCGCAGAGCCCCTCTAGAGCCTGTACATGTGCCAATCCCCCAGGCTGCCACATTCTAATTCTGTGTTTGGGTGTCAGTCTCCTTGCTGTTCCTATCTGGGTGCCTCATATGGTAGCACTTCAAAAATATTTGATGAATGACATGCCCGCTGGGATCCTGTCTCTGGAAATCGTGTTCCTAGGGACCACCCCAATTCCAGAATTACTGAGATGATTTACAGGACCTCATTCTCTATACTAGTGAATTATTTTTCTGCATTCCTGTATTCTGTTTTTAACTTGGCTATGTTTCTGATGGTCTCCCCTTTTACACTGAAACATTTATAAACCACATTTAGCATTTCTATTTCACGTCCAAGTATTCCTTATCAAGAAGATTTTAATAATCGTCCTCTGAAAAATGGCCTAAGGAAATTTGACCGTACTACCCTTTATAGGATGATTTCACATATATTAGGGTTTTCATGGACATTTTTATGACTTATCAAAATAGTTCCTAATATAAGTTTCAGGCTTTCCTTGGACAGTTTTGAGCCTGTTTCCTTAGCAGAATTATAAATGAGAGTTTAAAAGGCAATGAAAAGTACGTGAACCAAGGGACAGCGTCTTGGTGCTACCATCCATCACACACCTACACATGCTGGCTTCTGTGAGTGTGGCTTTGGTTGCCGCTAAAGCTAATGTGGCCGGGTGATCTTTGTCAATAGACTCTAGAGAGACAGTATCTATGGAATGTTTCAAAGTAGGTATATGGAAGTTTTCACATGGATTAGTGGTATTGAATAATGCATTGCATAGAGAAAGAGGAATTCTGTAAACAGAGGAGCTTCTGATTGACAGCAGCCAGACATCTAAGAGCTATAGGACGTAGCCTGACTGCCCTACAGGGGACATCATTGGGAGTGGACAACTGGTGGGTCCCGTGGACCCCTACCCTCTACATTTTTCTTTTATTTGACCATATATCTCACTAGATAATCATCAGTTTAAAACATGGGAGCACAGTGAAGTGTCTAAGACATCATACAGTTTTAACCTTGGGAAAATGCCATAGGCTTTCTGGGTCTCAGTTATAAAAATAACAATAATAGGGCTGGCTGAGCGGCTCAGTTGACTAAGAGCACGCTCAAGAGTGCGAGCTCTGAGCAACAGGGTTGCCAGTTCGATTCCCAGCCCGAGCTGAGCTGCCACTGACCTGCCAACAGGTGGCAGGATGGCTCAGCTAAAAAATAAAGAAAAATAAAAAAGATAACTATAATAGTAATGACAGTAATAACAACAACATTTATTGAGGATTCGCTCTGTGTCAGGCACTGTTCGAAGCACTTGACATGTATTCATTCCTTTTATAAACGACCTTCCTCACACAGTTTGTTGTTAAGACTAAGGGAAATAAATCACGCAAAGTTTTTAGCACAGGGCCTGACCTGTAATACTGAGTTCTCAAAGCAGTTATCTATTTTTATTGTTATTATAAATAATAATAATAATAATAATAATAATAATAATAATAAATGCATACTACTCCAAATATAGTTGTAAGAGGCTTTAAAATTTGGGGGCTATATGAAGTCCCAAGGCTTTGTAATATCCTAGAATCACCCACAACCTAATTCAGTGCCTGACACATATTAAGTGATAAACAAATACTTATAAAAATAACAAATGTGTTAAGTTATATGGGTGTTTTTGCAAGTAGGTTTCTCAGGGAAGAAAGTATGTAGTTTTCTTTAGCTTTTCAAAATATCTCATCGTCTCTAAGAAATAAAGAACCACTGCTTTGAAAGGGGAGTTGTCATCGTGTGAGTAATGAAGCCCTAATGAGTATGACTGGGAAGCCGGGAGGAAAGACCTGAGCGGAGCTGGCTTCCCACCATGAGATGGTTTGGAAAAGCCTTGTGATGCTAGATTCTGGGTTGGCAGTCCAGGATGGCTCCCTCTCCCCACCTGGAAATTCCCACTTGCCCTCTGAGGCCATTTGCATAAGACTCTGTGGGATTACTGGCTGTACATCTAGTCTTGAACGGTCAGATAATTTCATTCTGGTTTTGTAGGATCATAGAATGTTAGCACTGGAGAGAACCTCATCTATCATCTATTTCAGGGCTTTCAAATTTGTAGCAGATGTGTCACCACTCCTCATTTTGCACTCATGGAAGACATTTCTAATTGGACAGCACAGTTTACATCTGTGTCTTTTAAATCCTTCTTAACGTAATACTGTATGCAACCATTACCAGCTACTGAAAATTAGCATGTGTTAGGAAACTCTGTATTCCATTCATATCATGTGCCTGATACCCTTTCATTACAGTTGGGAAAATCAAGGAGATGACATTTAATATGTCTATTGAGTAGACTTGAGCACTGTAGAGTGAGTGATACGAAAGTTTTGAGATATGAATCACATCAATGGACTTCAAATCACAACTATTTAACTACCAAATATCTCCTTTGCCTCTGCTGTTATTTGTTCCTCATCTTTCATAGAATGAAGAAGGAAACACTTTTGAATGATCATTGACCTTCTCCCCACACACCAGTCTACAGGCAGCTAAAAGCAGGTCCCTAGGTAGTGAAAGGAAATTACAAATGATTATTTTAAATATTAGTCTCTATGTTGTTCTTTTTTTTATTTCAAACAATAAGTTAGTTATCCAAAGGTTCTGACCTCAGGCCACTCCCTCTCACCCATCAACATTCTTGAAAAGAGCAGTGTGGGGAAGTCCTATAGGTAAATCTAAGAGAACTGGACCTACTATGACTGGCCAAGGACCAGCCACTTTCTGAGCCTCAGTTTCCCCTACTGAAATAGAAGGATGTTGGATGCTGAATAGAAATAGAACACGGGATTCCTCATGCATGGGAGAGAAAAAAAAATGGCTCACTGTTGAAGAGTAGATTATGAGCATTTATTTATTTTCCTCTGTGTGTGTGTGTGTGTGTGTGTGTATCTGTGTGTGTCTATCTGTGTTAATGTGTGAAAAGATAGCATATTTAAATGAAGGTGAGGGTTGGCCAGAGAAAAGCATGAAATAAAGTGCATTTCTACCTTTTTAAACCATTAATTAACACAAGCTTGGCTTCAAACTTACTAAACATCACCATAGTTCCTATAACTTGGACTGGAACCCTCCCTCTGCATTATGAGGGCATATAAGGTCTGAGCCTTGTCATGAAATTTTCCAGTTGATTCTATGGGAAAAACTGGAGAAAATTGGAGTTTTCAGGCAGACCAGCAGAGATTAAGTTCTGGCATGGCCTAGATTTTTTTTTTTTCCTTGTGAGGATGGGAAGGATAGCTAAGGAAGGAAGGTTGCCTGATACATAGCTACCCCTCTGCCTTTATTATATACTCTAACTGGCTTAAATTCCATCTTTCCCTTTTCTTTTGCATTGCCTCCTCTTGGCAATATGAAAGTTGCAGATATACATTAGAAAATAGGCCAGTATTATATGAGAACATATTTATTGGCTGAATAATAAAACTTAGCTAAGGAGTTATGAGAATTAGAATTCCTCCTACTTGAAGTACAAGTTTCCAATAAGCAAACAGAAAAGCAAAACCCCCAAATGAGAAAGAATACATTAGTAACCTAAATCATAAACATTTGGGGGGGTGTGCAAACAATCAATTGACCTCTTTGTAGTGGGCCGTAGCACTGATGACACGGACATACAATGAGAGACATAGCATGGGTGCGCAGCCACCACAAAGCTTAGACTTCCTAAATGTGGTCACTTTAACTCACACACACCCACAGAAGCACTTCAGACAGCAACCTGCAGAGGAAGATTTGCATATAATTTCTAGCCAATACTAAAACAAAACAAAACAAAACAAAAAAACAACCCCCAAAATACCAAAACACCCTAAAACCAAAACCTTGGAGACCATGGTAATAAATAAGAGAAAAGGTGAAGAAGAAATAGGTAAAAATAGGTAACTTCCATCTGCCGGTAGGCAGGCAGGGCGCACCTCGGCCCCCATCTGAAAAACAGGCAACGCTGACAGCTTTCAGAGTTCAGGAGATAAGGCTGAGGATAGAAAGTTCTGCCCTCTGCTCGCTGGGTATTTCCACAAAATCTCCAGCATGGGAAGTTTAACACTGCGAAAACTGTGTCCTTTAAGATGTGGCTGAAACAGGTGTCGGCAGAGTTATCAAGCCTCAAGGAAAGGCGGGAGGCATGGCTTTACATTGTTTTTTCTAGGTGACAAATCAATAGCAATCACATAAATAAGGTACAGAAACAATACCACTCAACTATCACCTCTTTCCTGTTAAAGATGACTTCAGATCATTCTCCAAGTGCAAATCTGGATGTAAAAAATAATAAGCATCCGGGAAATATTAGCCCGATCTTCCGTCCCCCATCCTCCATGCAGGGGATGTGATGCCCTCTCCTGGCAGCGTGCCTCTCCACCTACACTTTCAGATAATCGTTTTTCAGCCGACCTAGCCGGGTCCCGTGGCTCCTGATGGTGAGGGCCAGCAGCTCGTACCTGTCCCTGAGCCCCACAGAAATATCGAGCGTTTCCTTCAGCAGGGACTTGGTGTGGACCAGCATGCCCAAGAAGTCCTCGTTGAGCCTGCTGTCCTGCCGGCTGTCCTGTTCCTGGCCCTGCTTGAACTTGCTTTCCAGCTCCGTGAGGGACTTGTCCGAGTTGGAGTAGGCGTCCCCGATCTGGTGAGACTCCCGGCGCAGGTACTTGCCGTAGCTTTCTTCCCCGTCCAGGTCGTAGGAGATGCTCTTACTGATGCCTTCCAGGACGCGCCCAGCGTCCTCCACCTGGCGGCCCAGCACAGTGAACTCTTCCCGCAGGGAAAGGCTCAGCAGACTGCTGGCCTGGCTCCCCTCCCCCTGGGAGCAGCGCCGGCGGTCACTCACCCTGAAGAGCAGCTGGCACTTCTCGGGGTCATCGTTCTCCTCATAGTCCCCATCGGGCACGAAGTAGTGGTGCAGAGTCCCGTTGGACATCTCCGGGTAGAGAGGGCCATCGAAGTAGCCCTGACACAGGTGACAGAAGAAACCCATCCAGAGGAACGTCAGGAACACCATCCTGGGATATTCAGGATGACCAGGGACCCCTGGAGAAGATTTTCCACCCTGGTACGAGGAAGGGGGTCCCCCTGGGAGTCAGTGCCTCCCTGAGATGGTGTCAGTCTCAGTTCCAGACGGCTTGCTGCACCCTGGCCCGCCCTCCCCAGCAGGCTTCATGTGGCTGTGGCAACTGCGCCGGCTGGGTAGCACTGTCAGCAGCAGCAGCAGGAGAAGCAGCAGCAGCAGCAGCGCGGGATGCACGCTGGCTCTGCGCTCCTGAGCTCTGTGCTCGGTGGCTGGAACTCAGCCGGCTCTTTCCCTGTGGGATCACAGGGCAGAGGGAGAAGCCCCTCCTCCAAGGCTCTGGCAGGACACTGGCTGTGTTGCCCCACTGTGGGGAGTTTCCCCTTGCTCCTGGGAGAGGAGGCCTGTAGCTGGAGAGAAAGGCTCTTGCCCTCTGATACTATTTCAACGCCTGGGCTGGGTGGGAATGCCGAGCTTTTCCTTTGGCTAATGATATCCTGAGGATCTCTCTGCTCTCAAATTACAGCTGGTTTCGTCACATGGAAGCTAGGGAACAAGTTTGGAAAGAAACCTCTCACCAGGTCTCTGTTATTAAAGGTACAGGGTCTCTTTTTAAAAACTGGAGGAGAGACCCTGCAAAATAGATTTTGGCTTGAAGTAGAAAATGGGGACAGGATAAGTAGAATTTCCACAACAGAAAGACTGGTTTTCTATTAAACATATTGGGAGGAAGGGTGATTACCCTGGAGAAATGCCATTTCGGATTTTTAATAAGTATCAGTTAGATTGGATTTAATGTTATGTCTATATTTATTAAAAAGTTTGTGGCTTTGAAGGCAAATTTGAAGTATAGAAATGGCAGTTTTGTTTGGGAATGGTTAATAAAATGAATAATAGCTATACTTTGGAAGCAACAGAAATATAGAAAACTGATTAATGCATGGTTGCAAGTAACAAAAGCTGAAATGGAATTGTGCCAGTTTAATAAGCAAATGGACTGAGATAATCGTTTAATTTTATGAAAAGCCATCCATGCTAAGCTCCAGCACTACATCTTTAACTTAACCTTTTACAGCCATTGCTTCTTTTTGATACTTAAAACTCTTCAAATGGTACTGTTTCCCCATTTTCCAGATGGAGAAACCAAGGAATACTATGTTAAGCAAATAATTTATAGTCACAAAGTTAGATTTTAGTTGAGCCAGGATTCATTAAGTCACAAAGCATTTTCTTTTAATTTTGGAGGGGGGAAAGTATCGTTTTTGGTTTTGGTTTTTTTTAACAGGCTATTTTACTTTCTGATTTGTGAATTCCTTGGCAAATAGCTATCCTTCAGGCCATCTCATTTGTTCAACAAATGTTTATTGAGCATTTACTTTATACCACAGTCTATTAAAAATATTTCAAATAGATCAGTGAACAAAAATAGAGACAAGTCCTTGTCCTCCTGGAGCTTATGTTCTGAGAAATGGAGTGAGAATTAAATAAAATGAATCAGGTGTATTGTATGTTGGGTAGAAATTGGGCTGTGGAGAAAAGACAGGAAAGGGACAGGAAAGCACAGGAGCATTTTATAGCACCAACATTATTTCCCTTTTCTGACTTGAAATGTCACCGAAACGCTCATGATTTGCCTGTGTTTATTCTTATCTCCCTCAGTCATAGGGACTGGTGTCATTCAGAGCCACAGTGCCTTACAGCTCCGGGACTGTCACACGTATTGCCATCACTTTCACTGACATAAACAAGCCAGATTCCTGGATAGACAATGAGAAGTCTGGTTAAGTAAATGGATATTTTGTTGATATGGTGTCACACATGCATAGATTTTTGAGACATGTTGTCTGCACATTTTAATTCTTATCCAAATATTTGGCATCATGAAAACATAGACCAAAGGAGTTTTCTTCGTGTTGATGGTCACTGAAAGACTACAGTTTAGTTTTGCTGTACAGGTTTCTCCCGCTATCCAAAAGTACCGTGTTCCTGTGAAAACTTTTGTAAGCCAAACTGGCGTAAAGAGGCAATTACCACTAGTTTATGTGGGGAAAATTTGGAAGGGTTCCCAGACCCCCAAATCACCTACCAAATCATACCCCGTAACATATAAAACCTAAAATAACACTAACATATAGTTAAAGCAGGAATGATATGATAAATACACAGCCTATATAAAGTAATATAGTACGTACAGAAATTCCGTATGTATGGTGTAGTTTTACTTACAAGTATGTCCTGCCTCTATAACTGGCTCCTGCAGAGCAAACACTGAACAATATTTTCACTTTTCTCCTTTTTTTTTTTTTGTAAAAGCAAAAAACCCTCTTTGGATTTTTTTTGGTTAGCTAAAACAGGTACCAATGTAGGTCTTTTGTAAAAGCAAAGTGGTCTAAAGTGAACTTTTGAAAAGCGGGCCAACCTTCTTTTCAAGCGGAAAACATAACCTCCCGTTGAGGAAACGGACTGTGGACTCAAGAACCATATTGCTTCATTGCTTTTTCTCGGGGACATTCTCAAATGACAACAGACGGATTCAAAGTGGCTACTTGGCAAAGAAGGGAAGAGAAATTTCCTCTGATTCACCCCACTTCTTGAGCAGTCCCTCCCTGACTTACTAACCAATTCAATTAAGCAAACCTATATTAAGCGCTTACTACATGCAGGGCAGTGTTGTTAGCTGTAGATACAAAGATGTGCAATAAAAAGTTTCAGCCTAAATAGAGCTCTGGTTGGAAAGCCAGGCATATATATATATATATATATATATATATATATATATATATATATATATATATATATACACACACATATAATCATAATAAGAATGGCTCAAAGTATTTACTTTTTCTTGCAGTTACCTCATCTAAAAAGATAGAACCCTATGTTTGCTCTTAAGAGGGATTTGTTTGTAGGTCCTTCATACATGCCCAGTTCCATCTTGGGCTGCTCTAGTCCAGTCAGAGTAAAGGTGACTTCGGAAGGTTGGCCTCAAATAAATGGAGGAAATGTCCAAGCCCAGGCATACCAGACAGAGGACTTTGAAAGGTAAAATCCTGAAGCACCATCTGCTGACAGAGACAACAGCTGAGTCTAGGGCTCAACACTGGAGGCAAAGCGGAAGGGCAGGACCTGGGTAAATGTAAGGGTAAAGGAGAACCTCGGGAACAGTGGCCAGAGTCATGTAAGTAATAGGGGAGCTCCCTCGCCCAGCACCGGCTGCTTATGTGCCGTCCTGGCCATGGAGTGCCAGTGGGGTGGGCTAGCTTGAAACTTGCTTATCCTTCCCTTTCCAGGGTACTTTAAATTCATGGTCCTCTGGTTAGTTACCACTGTAGAGAGGGAGCAGGAGTTCACGCTGGCACCATGAGCCTAAGGACTTGTAAGGTTCCTGAAACTCTGTGATTTCCACTTGCCAAAGGATTTGGTGATTCCCTGGCTGTTTCTGATTATGATAATACTAGAAGTTTTCTAGAAAAGGGGCTTGGAGGCATTATATATAAAGAGGGCTGGGGAGATAGGGTCCCACTATCCAGTCTAGAAACCCAAAAAGAACTTCTGGGAAGTGGAAGATCTCACTCCCAACATCCTCCTAAAATGGTCAGGCCGAATCCCTGGACCATGTCAAAGAAGAAGAAAGAGCAAAGGGAGTTAGCCTGGACCAGAGTAGGAGGTCTGGGGTGGAAGAAGAGAGACAAAGAAGAAAATTGCGGAAGATGAGAAGCACACAGTATTTAGCACGTTGGGGATGATTTTATCAATTAACGGGTAATTGGTAGCATGTATGGAGCAGCCATTGTTTACAGAGGGTGGGAAGGAGAGAGGAAGTGAAGTGAATGAGAAAGAGAAGAGAGAATTAGGGAAGGAGGGAAGGTAGCAAGCAAGGAAGAAAGAAAAGATGGAAGGTAGAAAAGAAGGCAGAGAGTGGAATACATTTTGATTATCTAGGCTGCAGTTTATTTGTCACAGTAACTCAGTGAAGGGGTTATTATTATTATTTGCTATCAGAATATTGGCCAGGGAAAGAGGAGAATTAATTAACAAGAACAATCACGAACTTCCCATCAAATATGGGCAATAAAACACACCTATGAAAACAACGAGAATACTTACAAGGGAAAAAGTACAATGTGAGAAGAGTCTAATCAGTTCTCCCATTCTTTCTTTATTAGTCAGAATAAGTTATGATACACTATAGTAACAAACATCACTAAAATGCTAACACCAAATTCAAGTCTACTGCAAGCCCAGGTACCTCCACATCTCCTCTCTATGCTCTGACTGGAATGTCATTTCCTCTCACGTCTTAACTTTAATGCCATTTCTTCTAAGAAATCAAGCCCCTCCTTGATTTCTGGGTTTTCATTCTCCCTGCCACTCCTTTTTATATACCACCCTGTTGTTTTCCTTGTAGCACTTTCCACAATTTAAAATTGTACTTTAATGAATGTATTTATTTGTTCTCGGTTTTTCTCTAAAGCTCGACTTACCACTACACGAAGCTAGGCGTTCTGTTCACTTCTGCCTCCCCAGTGCCTATTACAGTGCCTGGATCATAGGAGTCACTTAGTGAATATATGTCAGCACCCTAGGCTAAACTGGTCACTTTCCATTAAGCACTTCAACAACAACAAAAAAGTTGTTTTTGGAGTTAGTGTTTCCACGGTACTTTTTCTTTGTTCTTTCATGAGGTGTATGCACTGTATTGGCACTTGACTGTGAGTTCTTCAAGAGCAGGGATGTGTTTTATTTACCTTTATAGTGTCTGTGAGAGCCAAGCATATAGCCAAATATTTGTTGGTTGTTTTGATAACCAAACTGCAGAATTTAAGGAATCCTATTGAATGATGGTCAGGTCATCCATTTGAGTACATGTTTGGTCTGGCCAAGTCAGCCAGTGATGTCTCACACTTAATCTAGATGATCCTGGCAGGAGAGAAAGGAAAGAGCCCTGTGAATTCCAACATTCAGAACATTCAGGAGGGAGTATCGCTCAGAGGGCTGACTTTTGACCCATCCTAAGTCAGCTACGCAGCAGTCTGTACATATAGTCCTAGAGTGTTCTGGTGTAAATTGCAGAAGCGTCAGACCACCTTGGAGGGTAATTTGCTGTTCGCCTTGTAAAAGTTTTTTCTTTTCTACTTTTGGAAGCGTACACCCTGGTTTATGTTTCAGCTAGATGGAGAAGAATCAGACCTTATTTATTTGCCCTCTTTGGGCAGTGTTTTATTTTTCTCATCATTTTAATCATCAGGTCCAATGGAATGGGAAGAGATGAGAAAAAGCAGAGAGACAGAGTATGAGAGGGAGACTATACCAGTCTTACTTCAGTTCTGCAAGGACTGTGTGTTAGCAACCACGTGGGAAAACAAGTAGTAGATATAGCTCTACAACCTGTAGAAGTTGTGGGGGGTATGGGGGGGGGAAGAACCTGTGAATGGAAGTATACAGCGAGGATCATAGGACAGAGACCTACAAAACCTGTGATTATTTGAGGGAG